GAATAAGATATTATACAATCATGTTAAAAGCAAGTGACATGCATTCATAAATATTCATTGGTACTATCCATATTGAACGTTGTGATAGAAACCCTAAGTAAATGTGGAGTTCCTATGTATTTTACTCCAACTTCCTAACATATTATTTCCATGGACATATTGCTTTGCTTCATTCGCTTTGCTTATAATATCACCCCAGGTTCATTTTTATATTTGATTCTTTGTGTTGTTTCAGAATGGAAAGATTGACTGAGTGAAAAAAGTTAAAGCATTTGGATATCTGTGTACATAATAAGATTAATGGAAGATTTGGAGAAATAAGATCACTTTCAATTCAGTAATTATCTTGGCTAATTAGTACTGGATTTCTTTCTCGTCTTGTTTTCCTTTTAGAAGAGAGCCAGCTATTTTTCTAGTCTATTAAATTATATTCTGAAAAAATAAATAAGAAGCTAAATGCAAGAAACATTTTTGGTATTTCTGTGTATTTTGCATGTGTGTGTGCGTATTAGTCTTTGTAGATTAACAAATTCCTAAATTAAATGCTAACTTTAATAGAATTATATTGTTTCGGAAATGCTTAAGGTAAAATATTCCAATTAAAACTCTTTACACAGTTGTTATTGAGTTCTTTTATGTAGTATACTTTATCAGAATTTGTAATAATTGAAATTCAAACATGGATAAATCAATCAGCATTATTGTGATGGTAATAATCTATGTAATGTAAAAATTGTTCTATCCTGTCTTAAGAAAGTTTACAGAAAACACCACATATCTAAATTATAGAAGTCTTGATCTATTAGATAGATTTATTTCCTCCTAATCCAATCACTATTTCTTGCTGATTTTACAAAACTCTTATGAATTACTCTGTAATAAAAGTTACACAATATCAGTTAATAATCATCAAGCCACAGGTCTTCTTTTGTGTGGAGTTCTCCTTGCTGATCTCTCTGAACTCTGTAAGAATCTTCTTCTTTAGTAATGCTTAAAAGTTAAACATAGGTCAGTGCACTTTAATACAACCCCCCTTTTAAATCCTTCTACAAAATGCTTGAACTCCCCGTTCTCTCTTCCAACCTAACCAGAAATATCTCCTATTAAATTATGAGGTTCAACATAAACCAGTAATCAGTCTCAAAGAACAATTCTAGTCAATAAATTCTGGAGTATTGACCTTCCTTTTTGACCATCCTTTCCAGATGGCTGATTGGCTGAAGACTTTTCTTACAGCCAGAATTCCTTTTTCTCCTAATTCATAGGGATTAAAGTGAACATATAGCACATGCTTTCTGACCTCCGAGCTTTCTTGTTACAGACTACTAACAGCCATAAAACACAGATTTATTTTCTTTGCTAAAAAAAAAAAAGAAGCTAAGTCAATCATCTGATTTATCATCTTTGACTAATTTTGCAGGAGTTGTAGAGGTGATATTCAGCAGGTTCTGACCAGTTCTGGAGAACCAGTAGTGGCAAATCCTACCTCTGACTGGAGATTTTACAGTCTCCTTCCCCTGCCACACCCACCAAGCCATGCCCACAGATTCGGTAGTACAAATTTTTTGAATCCTACCACTGAGGAGTTTAATCTCAACAAACCTTAGGCAATCCATAATGACATCAAAGAAACGAATATAGAATACAGGGATAATGCTTCTATTTTTCCAGATACTCTCTTAAAAATATTAGTTATCTGATTCTTAAATGAGTTGTTTTAGTCACTATAAAGAACAATTGCAACCCTTTGCCTAGCTACAATATTGATATTTAATACTCAGTGAGTATGTCTAGAATGGGAGTCTGATAAGTTATCAGAAGGAAAGGGGAAGGGCTAGCTAGGGTCATGAAAAGGAATATGCATTCTTAATACTGTTAATGCATATGAGAATGTTGTAAATCGTTAATCCAAAAACAAATATTAAATGTTGGTGCATGAGTGTATTTACAGTGCTCTAGTTGTCTATTTAAAGACAACTTTCTGTGGTGCTCTTAGATACACTTTCAGCAGGACAATGTTTTTTTTAAAGGCTTAGGCATTTTTTTATATCAGCTATCTTCTTACAAGAACATTCAGAAGGTTAATATTGTAATATTCCATACAGTTTTAAGTACAATATACAATCTACGATAAATAGCCAGCCACAATCTTGAACATGCTTTAGCCCCTTAAATTCTTAAAGCTGCAGTGCCCTTTCAATCTACTTACATAATGTCATAAAATATACATTTCAAGGTAAATGAAGTCAGCTACTTCAATTTAGTCTCTCAAACTGGTAGTAAATGAGAGGTTAACACTATGGTGCCAAACCCATTATTGAGTAAATTTAGCACCTTGGACAGCTCTGTAAAATCTTTATTGCTTTCCTGACCTGCTCGTCATGTTCTGTCTATGTGTTCAGTGGCTCTCAGCTCTGATTGAAAGGCAATATATTAGATCCCGAACACAAACACGCTTGGGGCTGGTTCGCTGTGAACGTAATGACATGGAGGTGAGAACAATTTTCTGGTCACTGCAATTCAACCACCTTGCCAATGCTGTTGCAGGAACAGTACTTTCTAGAAGACTTTTACACATCACATTGTATTTGAAGTCAGGACTGTGCTCATAAATGGGATGAAACTTAAAATGTTTTAAATTACATTGGTTGCTGTGTAAAATGTTCTATGTTAACATACAATAGAACAGAAAAGCTAGAACTTTTTATGTAAAAGCTTAAAAATTCCCTGACAATATTTTTTTAATTGTTTTGCAACATCTGACAAAGCTACATGAAAGAAAGGTGTTATTATGTGGTGATTTTGTTAAGAAAACATGAAATGTATAGGCAATTCCTTGTTATAAAAAGAAATGGAACATAAACATTGACAATATATAAATTGTTGTGATGCTATATTCCAATGAGAAACTATGAGGAAAGTGTCTGCAATTAAAATTATTTTATTGTGATCTTACTGATTATTAAGAAACTGTGTGAAGAATGGTAATTTAGATTTTATGTAGTTACATTAAGACAGTCCAAAAACTATATTTTCATGTGGAAATTCCATTGGCAGAATTAAACTGCTGCGAAATCAATAACTTATTTCCTTTGTACATATCGATGCTCAGACATAAAGCAAAATACAAGTTTTATTATTAATTTGGGCCAAGGTATAAGACATATTTCTCATAACAATAAGAGAGATTTGCCATTTTATAATAATGTTATGCAACAGCTGATGATGTCACCTGGGGTAGCATTACATTTCCAAAATTACCTTGTCTGGACAAGATGTTTTAATTTACTAGGGACTGGAAAAGTCAAATGTGAAAAGCTGTTTTTCCCTTCTATTCTAGATTTTTAATCTTTTACAAAGCAAGCTGAACTCACTGATTTTCTAAGTAGCTTGGCTGAACCAGCATGGCCTGATTCCATATGGGTATCGTGCACATTCGATTCATATGCTTGTAAATTATTCAGTACTTTGGTCAGGATGCATAGAGAAGACAAGGACAAGAGCTAGTGATCTCTTCAGAAATAAATAGTTTCAAATGTATTGATTCAAAACCCATCAATTATATAATGCAGCTGGCTGCAAGCATTAAAAAAAATTGAAATGTGCATTATGAAAGGGAGAGTATACTGTGGTTCTAAGGAGTGCTAAATGTATATGGGGATTCAAAACATACTTATAATCTCATTTTTAAATTTAGGACATCATGTATATCATAAGTACCTACTGCAATATGCCAACTCTTTTAGCATATATTGTAGAGAATTTTAAATTGAAAAATGCTAATATGCATCTAAAAGCTTGTCATCTGAAGAGTTGTTCAAGGATTTTGAAGAGGTTATGGTGACAGCAAAATGAATGCAATTATATCTCTCTCTTCTGATAAGAGACTATAGTATATGAAAATTGAGCATTACTACTTCTTTTAGTTATAAAATCTAACTAGTGTATAAAACATTCCTAGTTAAGCTTCTCTGCTTAACTCAAAAGTCAATTCTTAAAAAAATGTGTCTAGCTACAGAAAGCATTTGCAAAAATATATTACAATTCAGCTTTTATGCCATCACGTCTACAAAGATCAATTATTTTTGGCAGAAGGTACTAAGATTTTAATTTATACGGGGGAAATCAAATGTATATTATTGTTTCTGTGATGCAGAAAGATACTTGTAATTTACAAATACACTTTATTTACTCCACTCTTGTTCTCGAAGTTTTACGTGCTAAAAATACAAAGAGAGCATTGTGCTATGCAGATGTCAGTCTCAGGACCATGAGGGTATAAGCTGGAGCAGGGAAATGAAGAGATGTACGCAATACAAATGAGTCTAGGAACACAACAGGGATAAATAAATGAGCAGATGGAGAAGTGAACAATCATGGAAATTAAAGTTAGGGTTATGCTTAAAATTTGGATACCCCACCCACATCCGTCCAAATTTCCTGAAAAATAACATTTATATCTTGTTCTCTGTTGCTGCTTGTCTTCAAAACCTTTCTTTCCTTTTTCAATATCAGACAATGGCACCCAACTATGGGAAAAAAGATGAAGCATAGAACTTGGTATTGTTATCAGATCAGCAACAGCATTCCAGTGATAGCTTAACAATATGGTTGATCTGATAAGGACACATTTCTATTATATAAATTAAAAGCCAAATAAACAGCATGAAAGAAATCTGTAACGTGCTCTGGGTGACATTGATTGCAATTGAAGAAAGAAATGTAGGTTTTATTCGGCAATAAACCTACAACCAGCTTCTGTGCAATCAGTAGACAATTGAGTGACAGATTTTTATTTTGCAGCTCAAGCAGATTTTACCTTTTAACTTTTGTGTGAACTGCAAGAATTCATGATTTAACAACATTCTGAGCTGACTAGGTACGGTTTATATGTAAGACTGAAAACAAGGCTGTGACTGAAAACAAATTTGAGGACACAATGATAGAACTGTATTTGCTACACATGAACATGGGTAAATTTCTCCTTTTCTTTCTAACAGGAAGTAATACTCAAGAGGGCAGCTGATCTGGTGGAAGCACTCTATGGTATGCCACATAACAATCAGGTAAATGCGGCCTTGGTTAAGTAGCGCTCTGCTTGGTGTTCTGAATTCTGTGCAGAGTCATCTTGCACGGACAAATAAAAATAAAATTGCAAATTGGAGGAAAATAATAGCAATAGCACTTAGACATATATACCACTTTACAGCCCTCTTACAGTTTACAGAATCAGCACATTGCCCCCAACAATCTGGGTCCTCATTTTACCCACTTCAAAAGGATGGAAGGCTGAGTCAACCTTGAGGGTGCCATGATGGATCTAGGAAAACTTCCCATGAGAACCAAACTCATCTCAAAGTTTCTAACAGTAGTAGCATTTTAATTTTTGATTTTATTAGTTGATTTGCTTTGCTGAAATAATGAAAGCACTATTCTGTGTTATTAGTATTTTATAGTTTTAATGTCTTATACTTTCAATAGAATTTAAATATACTAGTATGGTACCAACTGTTTAGTATTTGCTTGTGCCAAGTAGTTAACTTAATATCAGTATAAAATATAATGTACAATTTAGGCATTGTATTTAGAGCCTTTATCTTAGTGTAATTTAAGAAGTTCAGATCTAATTAATTCTCAGTAGGCCAGGTCCTGATTTTATAGAACTCTTTTACAAGCTCCTTAAACTGAAGACAGATGTTTAACACTGGAATCTTATGTGCCTTTCCAAAAAAATACATGCACTGAAGTAAATGATGGTCACACTCAGCTATCTGATATCAAAATATTGGGATTAATCTCTTCATTTACAGCCCTTTGTCTGCGAAGCTCTACTTTTTTGCTTCCTTTGCTTTCTGGAAGATTGATAGTTATTCGCTGCAAATTGGGACTAGATTAAAGGTTTTCCTAACACTTACATCTATTTGTTCTTTCTAAGAACAAAAAAACATATATTTACATGTAATCTTTTACATATAAACATCTTCAATCTTCTACCTTTGTCTCCATTTTATAGAACACAGGTAGTCCCTCGATATACAACCATTAATTTAGTGACGTTCAAAGTTACAACAACAGTGAAAAAAGTGACTTACGACCGTCGCAGCATCCCCACAGTCACATGATCACAATTTGGGCAGCCAGCATGTATTTACAATGATTGCAACCTCCCCGGGTCACATGATGGCTATTTGCAACCTCCCCATCAGCTTCTGACAAGCAAAGTGAATGGGGGAAGCCGGTTCACTTGATGACTGCATGATTCACTTAACAACTGCAGTGATCTGATAAATGACTGTGGGAAATAAAGGTTGTAAAATCAGGTGTGACTCACTTAACAACTACCTTGTGTAGCACAGGCAATTTTGGTCCCAGTTGTGGTTGTTAGTCAAAGATTACCTGTAAAAGCAAAGAATTGGTTCCTCATGATATCAGGTACTATCATTCATTGCTCCCTTTGAACAAATGAAATCATAATCTGATTCATAACTCAATTTTCCATTGCTATAATCTATTTATTTATTTAATTTATATTGCTGCCTATTCACCATGGCGACTTGAGGCGGCTTACACAATGTAAAACCATATTTAAAACAAAAAACAAAAATAAAAATAAAAAACAATAAAAATTAAGAAAAAGAATCAAATAAATTAATAAAGGACAATAGAACAAAATCTGGGGAAAAAATCACCCCCACCTCCTACTCCGACGACAGCAGATCACACTAGCCATTTGATGAGCTCCATCCCCTCTCTGGGTTCCCCAGACCCACTGGCAAAACCAGGTCTTCAGTGCCTTTCGGAAGAGTATTAGTGAGGGGGCCATTCTAATCACTGGGGAAATGATGTTCCAGAGAGATGGAGCCACCACAGAGAAGGCCCTTCTTCTCGGTCCCACCAGGTGTATCTCCCTCAGGGGTGGGACCCGTAACATTCCCTGCCTCCTTGCTCTAATGGGTCAGGTAGATGTCACTGGCACCACCAGGCAGGCTTTGAACCAACAAATTGATTTAGAGCTTCCGGATCAATAGCTGGGAAAAAAAACCCAAACATTTAATGGTAGGAAAAAGACAGAAAATACATTTTGCTGCTATCTAGTGGCCTCCTGGATTTGGGCAGCCCAAATCTCATATTTCTTATTAAGTTTTGTACAGGTAGTCCTCGATTTACAACAGTTCATTTAGTGACCATTCAAAGTTACAACGGTGCTGAAAAAAGGGACTTATGGCCATTTTTCACACTTACAACATTGGAGCATCCCTGTAGTCATGGGATCAAAATTCAGATACTTGGCAACTGGTTCATATTTATCACCATTGCTGCACCCCAGGGTCACACAATCCCCTTTTGCGACCTTCTGAGGAGCAAAGTCGATGGGTAAACCAGATTCACTTAACCACTGGGTTATACTACATTAACAGCTGTGGCAAGAAATGTCATCAAATGGGGCAAAACTCACTTTAACAAATGTTTCATTTGGCAACATAACAACTGTGCTTGTAAGTCGAGGACCCACCTGCATCTAATTACTTCCCTTCATAATTACTTCCCTTCATATCTAAACTCGTGTTTTGGCAGGAAATAATCCTGAAAAGAGCAGCTGACATTGCAGAAGCACTCTACAGCGTCCCTCGTAATCATAACCAACTCCCTGCGCTCGCTAATACATCAGTCCATGCAGGCATGATGGGTGTGAATTCATTTAGTGGTCAATTAGCAGTAAATGTCTCAGAAGCCTCACAGGCCACCAATCAGGGTAAGCTGAAGAAGGCTTTTTCTCCCTCTTTTCGAGACTTTATCTGGTGAATAAAAGGCATAATACACGTTAGGTTCAACCAGCATGCTTTTTTCCTTTAGAGTCCTATATAGAACAGTGAAGAATCCAGGGAATGTACAACACATCTGCATAATCGTCTCAGGAAAAAGAGCATGATAACTCAGGCTCCTTGTGAAGGACAGAACACATGGTCAACCACACATATCAATGAGCTGTGATCAATAAACCTAAAAGTGAAAATCTCTTAAATGAAGCCTACATTCTAAGTGTGGTTCCTTTATTTGAAAACAGGCTTGATTGTTGATAGAATGTCAGAAATAGGAAGCAGTGTTATTTTGGAAATTTTCCTGCAATCAGGAATCCTGTTTGGGGGTGACTAGAAACAGAGGAAAAGTTTCAGTCGGCCAATATTACATGTTGGGATAACATGACCTTCAGAATTTAGATAACAGTTTTAATTGCACTTCTGGGATTATTATTGTATCCAGCCCATTTTTATTTTTTTATAAAGGGATGAGTTTTCCTTTTTCTTGTTAGAAACTTTCTTGTGTGTTTCATGCAACCAAGGCCACAGAACCCACAAAAATGCATCATGGTATTTTTTTCTTTATTTTTTTATTGATAGTCTTCATAGGTATTCTAATAAATAAATCTCAGAAGTTTCTGACATTGCAAAAATGACTGTCCTTGCTTTAATATTTTAGAACTAATTTAACCATTTTCGAGATAGCAGGAAACACTTTTTCCTTTTCTTTAATATTAAGAATTTGTCACAAATGGTTAACAGGTTGCTGAATGCATGTCTGAAAATGTCTGAAGAAAATTATGATACATTAGGCTGTAACCCCCAGTGGTTTGCACTATCTTCTGCTATCTACGACCCGCTACAGTAAATATTCTCAATATTTTTATTGGTGGATTGTCACCATGGAATGCTTTCCTTAATGAAAGCTTGCCTGGCATCCATAACTGTGATTCTTTCAGCACCAATTTTTTTCAAAGACCCTGGTTATTTATGGAACTCAGTAGTTTTAGCTTCTATAGTTCTAGCAATCCATATAATATTTTTTATCATACTATATTTGTAACAATTTGGATTTTCTTGCTGGTCTAGATTTTTAATTGTTTATGGTTGGAATATTGAAATAATGTTTACATTTTAATCCATTTTCTATGACACATAGAAACATGGACTATAGGGCACATAAGTATAAATAATGTATAATTGTTTTATAAGCTATTTTAAAAAGCCACTCCCTCAATTTTTTTACTGAAGTTTCATCCAGTTTTAGCATAGTATGGTTTGGAATGTTTTGAAATTGGGTGGGACTTTTAGTTGAAAAACAGCTGTTGTGCTTTTTTTTTACTTCCTGCAAAAGGTTTTACTCGCAACTCAAGCAGTGTGTCTCCTCATGGTTATGTGCCAAGCACCACCCCTCAGCAGACAAACTACAACTCCGTCACAACAAGCATGAATGGGTATGGAAATGCTGGAATGTCCAATTTAGGTGGCTCTCCAACCTTCCTGAATGGATCAGCTGCCAACTCTCCCTACGCCAGTATGTATTATTATATATGTTATACAACATATATTGAGTAGTGATCTGAGTATCCTAAACCTTTGTAATGATTGAAAACATTTCAAGAAATTTACCACATAGATATTGGTGTACTTAATTCCACATAAATAAGTTGAAAGTTGCACAGTGAGGTTTGTATTGTTGTTGCTGTTGCTTGAAAGTATACTTTTACGGCATTAGAATGATACATGAAAAATGCAAATTTAAATCATACCTGAGTTCTTCAGGAGATGCTGGGTGTGAATAACCCTTAATCTGTATGGAAAGAGTTGATTAAAGCTAGGCCTATTATCCAATCAATGTTCAAACTTGCAAAGCCAGCAATCAATTTAAATAAAGGTATGTATCAAACAATTTGATACAAGGAATCTCTGAACTGGAGACCACATTTTTAAAAAAACAATTGATAATGGGGATTTATTTCCCCATGAATACAGGTTGACCACTCTGCATAAGTCTAGGAAGAGAATTAACCTGATTTTACCAGTGATTGAAAAGACCAAAAGGTGTTATAATTTAAATGATTATAATAGTCTAATTAAAGAGATGATCTTCTGGCAACAGATGAGATTGTGGAAGTTTGACAGGATGCTTTATCTACTAAACAACATTACTGTGTTTAGTTCACCATTAGAAATATTTCAGCAATGCCAAGTGTATCCCTTACAACTTTGTGACCTTTTTGTTCTTATTAAATCATGCCTCTTTTGTCTCATCATCATGATTCTTAGAATGGTTCTCTTGATATATACTGCTGCCCTATTAACAACAAATATTGTTAATCAGAAAATGTTTCAATCATGACCTGAGAATTAGAAAGGTGGCATTCTTAATTAAATCAATAAACTAATTGCAGTATAGTTGCAATTCAATTTGGGTGCTTTGATTGCTCTGCCTTCACAAGTGCTTGTATATACCAAGTGATTTTACACTAAGACACTATCTGTCAGACTCTGAAACTTTATACATTTAATTTCCATTAATTGATTTCATTGGGGTTCAGAACTATGGCATCATATGTTTACACAGAGATTCTAAAGGGAATATTCTTATCTGTGTACATGCAAATAAAATAGTCATCTATGCTTCAGCTAATTTGAATTTTCATTCCCAAACCATTTAATTATTCATTAAATATCCTGAACATAAACAATCTCTAAACAAGATTTTTTAAAAAATGAGTAATTTGGCCTGTAAATGATTTTTTTTCTTTTTCCCCAGAATCATAGAAGACAGTAATTCTGAAGTAATATGGTCCTATTTTGAGTAAAGGCATTAACTATACTATTTAAGGCACCAGCAGGGTTTTTAAAAAGTAATTAAGCATAATGTTGCAGGGGATACAAAATGTGCATGCAGACTGGATTATATATAGATGCAGATAATCTAAAAACTGCTCCCCAATATCCTTGATGGCACTTCAAGAATTCTTGGCATCATATCTTTCCTGAACTATATAGTCAACAAGAATAGTCTACAGCATGTTATTAATCTGGACAAAACAACCAATAGTGCACGCACATATCTACACGTATTCTCCCAAGTTATAATGTATAATATTCAAAATAAGCTATTTGGCTCATGGGGCAGTGAATCCTACAAGTGTCTCTTCTTATCTCTGGAAATATAAATGTAATAATAACAAGTAAAGAAAAAATAATTTGCTTTTGTGATGCTCAAAATCACTTTGCTTACTTGCAGTACTAATCCTGAAGAATACCTAGGGGAGGGAATGAAGTAGTATAAAAAATTGTAATTTGCCACGTCGTGTCTCTGTAAGAAACAGATTCCTATCCAGGATTATTAATGGAAAGCAAAGGATAATCTTCTATCTCTATTTGCCTATGTGCCTACCTGCATGCCTATCATCTATCTATCTAATCTGTCGTTCTTTCTTTCTTTCTTTCATCTATCAATCATCTATCATCATCATATTTATTATTTTTACAAATACATTAAGGTGGAAAACATGTCCAGCACACTTTTCTCCTCTTATTTTCCTCACAATAAAGTGAACTAGGCTGAGAGAGAATGTCTGAGCCAAGGTCTGCTTTCATGTCTAAGGTGGAACTAGAACTCATGTCTTTGCAAATACCTGGCAAATAGAGAAATGAAATATTCTATTTATGGTCTTGAAAAGAATAATTCTTCTCTCTTCTTGTTTTCTTCTAGTTGTGCCATCCAGTCCAACCATGGCATCCTCTACTAGTCTCCCTTCTAATTGTAGCAGCTCCTCTGGGATCTTCTCCTTCTCACCAGCCAATATGGTCTCAGCAGTGAAACAGAAGAGTGCTTTTGCTCCTGTTGTCAGACCACAGACATCCCCTCCCCCCACCTGTACCAGCACCAATGGGAATAGCCTGCAAGGTAGGCCAGTCTGGGCATGCTGCTTTTCTCAGCATTGGCAGGGTGGAGATGAGTAAGAAAAGGGTAATGAACTTTCAGTTACATGGTGGGGAGATTCCATTGCATAGTTGTTACTCACCCTTGGTTCCCTCACAGCCAATCATTATTATCCTGTTGAACTAAAATTCTGTGTCTTAAAAGCACGGTCTGAGTGTTTGCTTAAAATGAGTGTATTGCAGTTTACTAATACCAGCCTTTCTCTTTCTTTCCTTTCTTATTCCTTGTTGTTGTCTTTTATCAGACCAGTCTTTTGTGGACTCTAGCAAGTACTCCAATGCAGGGTCTCTCCAGGGTCTGGCCTTCTCCTGAAGTACGTTAGTCAATCTTCCCTTCCTTTCTTTTAATTTTGGTTTTTTTGTTCCTTTGACATGTCCACCACCTGTACTAAGAGCATCACTGTTTATGATGGTATCACAGATATCAAATTGCATGTGATAGCATATCACTAAGTATAAGTGGCACATTATGTGTTATGTAAAGTTACCAGTCTTCTTATTTTCCCATGATTAATGTAATAAGAATAAACCACTTCCACTTGCAAACCCTACCTGCCATCTTGAAAATCTACTCAGCTGTTTTCATTTGTATCCCATCCAACAGATTGTAGCCTGATGCCTTCCTCCATCATACTATTGTAATTTATGCAAACATGGATTTGCTACATACTTATGTCTGTATCAGATTCAGGAAATTCTTAACATGATTCATCAAAGGGGAAAACATTATTTATACCATGATTTCCACTATTCTTGTTCCATTTGTAGAACATTTTTTACCTTTCATGGAACCCCAGCATCAACAAATGGGCAGAATAACAAGTAAAATAAGGATCACTGTCATTAAAATAACATTTAGGATTGGGAACTTTTAAAGAAAACAACTTATCCTTTCATCAAATCGGATATATATGAACTTTATAACTATATTTAAATAAAGGCAGGCTGAGATAATGTGAAATTTCCACTGTGATGGACTCCAGTAGTCATTTAACCTTTCATTCATGTGATCAGGCCATCAGTAAATATTTTTACGTAGGGTGACTATGTGAGAAATAGATAATTCTTTTAAGTTCAGGATATGTCAGGGTTATATGTGATAACATTTTTATAATGATTATCATATTAATATCTATGCTTTTAAAAATAATAATGCAATCAATATATGCATTAATAGAGCTACTAGAAATCTCAAACTGCTTTCTACTGTTCTGCACAAAATTTCTACATTGCTGAAATAGGTTAAGTAATTTCCCAAAATAGTCAAGAGACAATTCTCCAATTGCCCTTCCTAAAGACAAATTGAAAATTGTCCTTCCCTCCTTCCCTCCCTCAGTCCAAAATGGCATTATTAAATACAAATACTTTCTACTTTTTCCTATGAGTTATTTTTAATAAAGTTAAACTCAATACATCATGGCATAGCAAACATGTCTGAAGATATCCATTATAGACAGTCTTCAAATCCTATCAGAGTAGTAGTTTAAATTCAGAACATTAAAACTAAGATTCCGCAGCAACCTACCTTAACAGAGTGCAATTTCTTTCTGTTTTTTTAAAGTCAATCATATTTGTTTTTGAAATTTCCTTCATTTTAATAAGCAAAGTAGAATAAGGATACTGCTCTTTGCATAAATGTATTAGCGGCTCCCTTGGAGTTTGAGATCTATTTCCTTGCCTTTTTGAATCTTGGCCTCACTCTCATTTTCCAAACAAAAGGAACGTGTTTGTGTAAATATTTCTTTTAATTCCAGGGCAGTGATGATTAAATGTAACACTTTGAAATGTGAGAGACCTTTTTGAGAATAAAAGTAGAATAACCAGGTTAGGCAAATATATGATATTTTTGTCTCTGAAGATACAAAAATTGCTTTTACATTGATTACTATAAAATTTCATTTTATGTCCAATTTCATCTTCCTGTTTGGTTTGCATTGGTAATGTTGATTTAACATCCTCGATTTTCCAATTTCTGAATACATTTTTTTTCTCATGACCAAATACCCTTATGGGCAGATTTGATTAAAAAGAGTGTTGGGTTCTGTGTGCAACCTGCAGCAAAATTATTTGTCATATGTGCATTGGACCACAAGTCAGAAAAGTGAAAATTATCTGTTTAACATATGGACCATATATATCATAAAAGCAATTTCCTGATTTACTGTTTCGTTTGGCTTGTTGGAGGGCTGCCCTACTGTGCTTAACCCTCTCATAATTATCACATTACCACATTCTAAAGCATTGAGTAGAGAGACATTTCATGCTCACTTAGTCAAGAAGGGTCTCACAATCCCCAGATGCCTCAAACAGCTCTGGGGGTAGAGGGTTACTTACACATGCTCATTCATACTCTAAACAGAGAGGACTTACTATGCTTAGAGACAAATATAACATCCACTGCATTAGACACAGACAGACCCTAAAGGTAAAAACCCAGTCATTGGATGTTTTTTCCTTCAAGAATAGAAAGTATGGAAAACAAACCCAATGTACATTTCACTTTGGTAAATGGAATATGCACAGGAATTGAACTACAACTTATTCACTAGTCTTTAGGACACAGAGTTTAAATTGGAAAGCATCTGATGTAAGGTCCAGAACTGCCTTCTACTAAAAAAAAAAAAAGCATGGGAAATAATAGAAAGAAGAATGTACATCGCTCTTGAAATGGTAACTTATTTTAAAGCTGCAAGCTGTTTTACAATGACAAAAAAGAATAACAATCCAAATATATAATTATAGTGGTGGACTAATTGTGAAACATGGTCAACACAAGCCATATATTTGGTCAAGTGAATCTGCTTGGATTATGGGCAAACTAAATTAGACAATGTTATCTTACGCCTTGCAGTGAAGATGCTGCTGCCCCTGCTCTCACCTGCCTAGACTTCTGTGTGCTACAAAACACACTCAATGAAAGAGTGTGAACGATAAGCTGCAGTTGAATCTCATGTAATTGGAAATCTAAAGGGTCAGACTTTATATATGCTGTTATTGCCAATTAAGTGTGATAGAACTAAGCATTTGAATGGGAAACAGAATATTGTTTTATTGAACTACAAAAAAACAAATTAATTGAAGACTGCTGGAGAGATGAATGGAAACCAAGACAGTCTTACATTAAAACTAAAGTAAATTCCAGAAACCTGCATCATAATCTGTTTTGCTGAAATTTTGTAGTCCTTCAAAAGAAAAAAATGAAAATGAAAAAATGAAATTAAAATTCATTTTAATGAAAATTGATAATGTCTGAAAAAGGATAACTGAGCAGTGCAGTTATAAACATGATATCATATGATCATGTCATTCAGCAATGACAATTCCATAAATCCCTGGTTACAATTGTTAAGCAAGGACAATGTGGATTGTGAAATAAGGACCATATGAGACTTTTGACTTCCTGCTGGCTTCCCCATTTACATGTTGGAAGCTATTAAGGAAGGTCACAAATTGAAATCATATAACCCTGTGACACTATGGTGGCCAGAGCTTTGAGGATCAATCATATAGTCCCTTGTTTAGCACTATTGAAGAATTACTGAGTGAGTAGTCATTAACCAAGTATCACCAGTATGACATAAAACTCTCAAACTCTTGTAGTTATTAATCATATCTATTAGAAGTATTAATTTGATCACAGAATATATCTATCCACAACCTTTAATTAAAAAACCTTCCAACCACTAAGTAACAAAACAACATTTACATACTAATTGTTTAGCATTTAGCAACCAGTACTTACTATTATGAAAACAGTTTAAAGATTTAGCATTTAAATAGCAATATAAATACAAATAATTCAAAATGCAGCCTGGGAACTGTCATCAGATATATTTTTCTTCACCCAAGAGTTCTTCATCTGATCACAAAATCAGGAAAAGTTAAAGAAAGTCTTCTGCTATAAAGATTATATCCATCATGCCAAATCTTTGAAGAGTGTCCCTGAAGAAGGGAGACTCTATTTTCAAAGGGAATATTTACTATGCTACCAGAATAGGTCACACCTTTAGTATGCTTGGACTCCAAAAGTTTAGATATATATTTTTTATTTTGTTTCCTCATATTTTATTTATCTGTTGCCATTTACCTAAATTGCCTTTTTGTTGCTGATTAGTCTTGCAATTCATGTACTTACGGTGATGGCTGTGGGGAAAAATCATTCCCTTTCATTTGGTCTTGGTTCTTATCAAATTATTGTAGATGTAATTAAAGTACAAGTATTAGAAGCAGTCATGGGTTTGAGTTCTTCCCCAAGAAATCGTCTGCCGAGATGTTTAAGATGGTGGCTCTAACTGTGTACCTTTGAAAGACATCATCAAAAGTCCAGAATTTGTCATGTCCCTTTAAAAGACAGCTTTGTCACAGCCATCACCACAAGCTAGATGTGAATGCCAGTGGCAATGACATATTTGCTTGCAGTAGGTCATTTTTCATATTGCATGGAATGGGTGAGTCTAGATTATCTGCAGATTTCTCCTAATGTACAGACCTGTTTCTTTGAGGATGAAATAATTTAATATGAGCTAATCCTGTTGAAGTCAGCATTCTTTCAAACTGCTTTCTTTTGAAAGATTGTAGCTGTGTTAGTCTGTAGAGAAATAAAATGTTAACTCTTGATGACTATTTGTTTCAAATAACCTCGGTTTCTTAAATATGTAAAACATTATGATGCAATTGCATTGAGCAGGGATATTATCTTTACATGAATAAAAGATATGAAAATAAAATAAATCAAATACAAGAAAAGATAATAGTAATAGAAAAGGGACAATCTTCATACCCTAACCATAGTCCATCTGGCTGCTGTATGAAGTTGGAAAGATGCTGGATTAGCTATACCTTTTTCTTTGAAGGTTTTTTTTAAATTTAAGTAGCAATTATAGGTGAAAATCTTTTTTAAAAAACCAGTTTTCAAACTGGCAACAGTTTATAGACAAATAGTTATGTATAGATGCAAACCAATTTTTAGTTTTCTATATGGTATCTCCAAAAATTTCTTTTTCATAAAATCCTAATTATATGTTATACATGCAGCTGGTCAATGTCCTTCTCTTGATTTTAGAACTCTATTTGGCACATTGAATAGGAACCACAAGATTAAAAAGTAAAGTTTTTGTTTTTGTTTTGTAATTCATGTGAAAAACTGAATAAAACTTGTTTAAAAAAAGATTACAAAGTAAAGTTTTTCCAAGTGATCACTTCATTAATTTTTCCTTCATCAGAATTTATATTGCAATCAGCTTAAGGATTGGGTTATTGGGTTATTTCTGACAGTCAAACTGCTAAATAACTTCGGATCAAGGGTTATAGTCTGAGCTTCATTAAGAATTTCAACTTGCCTGCATGCAACTTCTTTCCAGATAGATTGCAGTTTCCTTGCAAGCTCTTAATGCTTTAGAGTTTTACAACTGAAATAGGTAGTTCTAGAGTAACGGACTAACTGCCTAACATCAGCATTATTCTTCCTTTCTAAGCTTTTGCCCATTATAATGTATAAATCCCACTTGAAGCACAGATGAATGATCTACTACTGAATATTTGAAACAAATGTTTTCTTGCCCCAAATGGCATAACTGATTTGTTTTTGTGTCTTCTTCCTTCTTACCTTTACAGCTATAACTGGCATGATAGTTCCTCCCATGTGAATGAATTGCCTTGAAGAATTGACTAATGAAGGATTTGAATTCTGCTCCAGAACAAAGTCTGAACCAAATCCCAGAGAGGAACTTTTAACTCAGGCCTTTCTTCAAGGAAAAAGGAAGACTCTCACAATAACTGCAAAGTTTAAAAAAAAAATTAAAAAAAATTGCCATCCTTGCAAAATATTCCTGAAATCTACTCCAAGCCTGCAAGGGCAAGATCTTAATTTGAGCTGTCCATCCAAGTTCTTGGGAGAGAAATTTGTGTCCTGAAGAAAACACACTTTGGTCTTTTCAGTTTTTATGGGTCATCTTTTGTCTTTTACAAATCACAACAGGAGGGAGAGGCACAAAGATGAAAAGCCAACTTGAGAACTTTTCTTTGTTGTAGTTTTTAAAAACTCTCTTAAAGGGAAATAAAGTGGCAACACATGAGTTTCTATGGAACAGAAGTAGAAGTGCCAGTTAGGAATTACTGATGTTTTTCTTTCCTTCAAAAATTCATGGCTGTGCCAGTAAAGGGTTGTTTTCATGTGTTTTACTTAACCAACAATAGCACATACATCTGGGATTTGCAATCTGGGGAAGTACCAATGGATGTCCACGTGAACATAGATACAAAGATACACCATATATGCATACACAAAAAAGATTTCATTTTAGAAGCCATGATTCCCCCCCCACCCCCCTTAATCCCTTAACACTTCTTTCTGACAACATTGTACTTAGAAGATCGCGTAAATACTGCAAGGCAGGGGAAAAAGGCATATGTGTAGCTATGGACATGCATTTTCCATCTTTACTTTGGAAACCCAGTGCCTCTGGATATAATGCTAATAATTGCAAATCCAATTAGCATGGCTCTCTGTCTTTTGCTTTTAACCAACTTAAATCCAAATACAGTCTTAAACTGTCTTTCTCTGTAAATCTCATTGAAATTTGATAGGACCAGACAAAGGCACAAAAGTGAGCCGATCAGTGCATTTTGGAGCATATTTTTTACCAGAAGCTTCTTTCCTGATACCTGTATCTTTCATTTTGGAATGGGCCAGGGCGAGGGAGGGGAAGGGAGGGAGGGACAAGACCACAGGATTCATCCTGCCATTCCAGAGGATGGTCCAAAAGCACACACCTAGGAAAAAGGACATATCTGTTTTGAGCTGCAGTTGTTTTTATATCAGGCAACCATTTCAGTTCGCGACATAATCTCTTAAGCAACAGTGGTTGTATTTTTGAGAATATGTATAGGAGAAAAAGGGTGAAAAACACAGTAAGTTATATGACAGTTTCAAAATAAACCACCCAGTTTACAAGAATTTATCTCTTGTTACTTGGAAAGTGTTCTTAGTTAAAGATGCAACAAACCTTTACAAATGCATTCATTAAATGATCTGTTTGGGTTTTTTTTTTCCTTTGCTGTGGCATTTTGTATGTAGTTATAAATAAATACTGTAGGGTTTTTTTGGCCAAATTATTGTTCTATTTATACAATTTAATGTCTTAAGACAGATTTTCAACACAACACACAAATCTACAAGAATTACTGCATATTTTGCAAAATGAGCTCACTACCTTTATGATTGCACATGCTTGCAAAATGAATTAAAGAAATAAAGCTTTTTTAATGAAGAATTTTGTAAAATGCCCATATAAATAATGTATTTAACTTTGAACTTTGTACATTGCTTTTTCTCTGCAGCATCCCAGTTTATTTTATTGTGTAATTTTGCTATGTGAAAAGTGCTAATTTGTTTGTTCATTCACAAGTGTGTTAGCTGTTTAAGTGTGATTTAATGCAATTCATTTATACTTTTTTTAGTAATTGTTTTAAACCAAGCTTCCATTTTTGTTTTAAGTTCACCAAAGCCATTGTCTATTTTTGTATTATTTCTAAGTTAAGAATTTTTTCCCCCAATATATGGCAAAAAAGTAGCATATTATTCTTATAGCATTTAGTTACGTAGATTTAAAAAGTATTCTTTGCTTTTGAGGCTTATTAAAAAAATCTAAAGCTGTTTTACTCTATTAATATGCATGGAATCTCTCCCCTTTGAAGTGACGCATTTTTGTGCATTAAATATGGGGAGAAACTTCATAGAAATTAATGAAAATACTTTCTTTCTTGTCTGCTTGTATATTTCTCTGTCTTTCACATAAATATAAACCAGCAGATTGGATGCCTTAACAATGCAAAGCATATTCATTTCACTTGTACATTGTACTGAGCATCAAAACTGTCAATCATCACTAACATTCTGAAAAAAAAAAAGGATTTTGAAAAGCACAAAAGAACTGTTTTGTTACCTTAAGAAAATGTGACTTTTTTCTAGACAAACAACAATGCTGCAACTGTGCATGCTTCCTGTATGAATTTTGCAAGGGATTTCACTCAGATTTCACTGTGTGATCTTTCAGGAAAGGGAAAAGAGTGGGTGTGGGAAAGAGAGAGAGAGAGAGAGAACGAAAGGGAAAAAATCCATTGATTAACGTATTATTTCCCCACAGAAAAACAACATAATCACACCTAAAGAAACTAGAAAATGTAAGGCATTAACAGTGTATTGTTTCATTATAATCTGAACACTTATTCTAATTCTTAAAGTAACAGTGGCACACAAATGTAATCAAATTAAAGCCATATTTTGTCCAGTGATGCCCTCCATGGAATCCCAGTCAGACAGATTATTTTTATTTAGAAAGTTACATGAATGTGTATAGACTGTTTCCTTGACCTCCAAAGATCATGTGAGAGTACACAGACTTTCTTTCTTTCTCCAGGTATTTATAATGCGTGATAAAGAAAAGTTATATTTTAAATTATCTACCTGCCCTGAATAGATTCCTATGAGTTCCAAGTCCATTCTTAAAGATACTGCTCTTTACAGAATATCGCTTTAAGTGGGAATGATCCTGTTTCAGACTTAAAATGTGATTTCTCACCTTGGCTGGGCTGTGAGAATGATGTCTTTTTCCTCTCCTTCGTAGCCAACTGCATCTTAAAAATGAACTCATCTCTGAACTGATTCTCCTTTCACTTCTTACTGAACCTTTTGGAATAGACACAAACGCTGTACAGTTCTATTGTTAGAGAAGAAAAACAACTAACTACTGTAGAGATTGTTATAATTATTTTGCAGAAATTCAAGCTGTAAAAACTTTTCAACTTTCACACTATTTAATTAAAGTTACTTCCTGTCTGTGAGTGCAGCTCCTGGCTGAGTATTTTATTCTTTTGGCTTTGCTAAGCCAACAGATGAGGACCAGTTGATTTGCCCCTTGTAGGCTTCTATTGCCAAATACAAAGCAGCTAAAATAAGGGGAGGGGCACATGGGTTTTGACTTGCCTTTCAGGTAGATTGAGAGAGAGAGAGAGAGACTTTTCCTTAGGTATCTTCTTATACACATTTTGACAAGCATAAGGACCAATATAGCTGTCCTTGTGCTTAAGGAATTATTTGTATACACTTCTCTCTATTGAAGGACATAGCTTTACAGGTAGTCCTCGACTTATAACAGTTCATTTAGCGACCATTTAAAGTTACAACAGCACTGAAAAAAAGTGATTGTTATGATTGTTTTTCACAGTTATGACCTTTGCAGCAACCCCATCATCATGTGATCAAAATTCAGATGCTTGACAATGGGTTCATACTTAGGATCATTGCCGTGTCCCGGGGTCATGGGATCCCCTTTTGTGACCTTCTGACAAGCAAAGTCAATGGGGGAAGCCAGTTTCTCCTAACAACAATGTTACTCATTTAACAACCTTAGTGATTCACTTAACCATGGTGGTAAGAAAAGTTGTAACATGGGACAAACAAATTTCTCACCTAGAAACATAAATGTAGGGCTCAATTGTGGTTGCAAGTCGAGGACTACCTGTATTTTAAAGCACTGTTGGGTCCTCTTGGTTCAAGCCAAAGCATGTTTTCTCCAGCATTTGGTGTTGCAAAATGAAGCCAATTGTTTTCAAGGGAATAAGAGATGATAGTGGTCATCCTCTTCCGCTGTTGCTATTTGGCCTGTTATTGAAAGGATGCTGCCTATGATTCAAGCTAATGCTACTAATACTCTTGTCCATCATGAATTTTTCCAGTCTTCCTTTAAAACCATCTAAATTAGTGGCATCAGCACTGATCATGTAATTTAATTGTGTATTACAGGGAATTGCTTCCTTTTAGCAGATTTGAAGTGCTTAGTCTGTCACTGTCCTTGGAGACTTCCAAGTTCTAATACTAAGAAGGTGAGAAATGACACTTCACATTTATATACGCCTCTAATTATGTACAATCTCTACCCTTGCCCTCCATCATTCTTCTTAAAGGCCCCCTTATGCCGAAGTTGGTCTGTGTTTAAATAACTGCTCAAATCCATTTTGGCTGCCCTTTTCCACCTCTTTCTCCAGCTTACAACTGTGGATGTAGTGAGAATTTCATGCAATATTAAGGTGCATTCAATTATAGATTTATAAGATGGCATTGCTGTATTTGTAATTTCCATTCCACCTCTAATGTTTCCTGGCATGGAATTCTTCTCCTCCTTCGCATTACCACACAAGAAACTGGCATTTTTCTTGAATTAGCCACCATACACGCAAAATCTCTTTTGATTACCCACTGTCCTCTCAAATCCTTTGGCATCTTTATAAATAAGTGAAAGTGCACCAATTCCAGAAGATTCTTGCGATTCATTTTTTATGTTATGTTTTGTACTGAGGGAAATTTGTTAGCAAATGTCTGAGCATTATCCATTATATCTCTATGCACTACTTAGTGTCATTACCAAAACATAAAATAATCTGAATTTGCTCAGAAAACTTTGGTGATTGACTTTGTCAGAGTTTTGTTTTTTTTAAGTATTCCATCCTCTACCACACTTATCTATTTTGTTGATGCCTTTTAAAGATAAGTTAGAGGGAAAAGACTTACCCTCATAAAATACATGCAAATTTCTTTTCTATGCCTTTATAATTGATGAATTTTTTTCTTAATAATTCTTGCTAACAACTCAGCAGTTACAGATGTTAAACTAATTGGTATGTAATTACCTATATCAGATAAATAAAGCTTTGGAGGATTAATTTATATAAGGCCGATAACTTCTTTTCCTATCTATTTTCCTCCTGAAAATGTCAGTTCTGACATGAGTATCTACCTACCTTCGGCAGGATTTGATCCTGTTCTCAAGGGTTCTGTACAACCAAAGCACATTATTCAGAGCAAATAGTGTGTTTTTATTCTGATACATCTCTTGTTTCTTCTAAGGTCTTGGAAATAAATTATATGTAATTTTATTCTTTTTATTAGTAGGATACAACCCAGCACTGCCTGCATTGCATACTGGTAGTCCTTGACTTGGAATAGTTCATTTAATGACCATTCAAGTTGCAACGGAACTGAAGAAGAACTTATGACTGTTTTTCACAGTTACAACCTTTGCAGTATTCCCTAATCATGTCATCAAAATTCAGATGCTTGCAACTGGTTCATATTTATGATTGATTGTTGCTGTGTCCCAAGGTCATGTGATCACATTTTGCATCCTTCTGACAAGCAAACTCAATGGGAAAGCTAGTTCATTTAACAAGCAGGATACTAACTTATCAACTGCAGTGATTCACTTAACAACTGTGGCAAGAAAGGTCATAAAATGGAGTAAAACTCACTTAACAAATGGCTCACTTAACAACAGAAATTTTGGGCTCAGTTGTGATCACAAGTCAAGTACTATCTGTACTACATAATTTCAGGGTGAATGTTATACCTATAATTTTAGTTTGAGTTTTATGCTAATAATCTTTGTGTGCACGTGCGTGTGCACACGTGTGTGTGCACACATGCATATGTAACTTTAATCTTAATCCTGGATATTATATCTGAGCTTCAAATTTCAGGAATTTCAAATTCAGACATATTTGTGCTTATTCCAGCCTTAATCAGATAAGTAACTTCTCACTTGAAAAATGGAGCATGTTGAACTTCAAGCAGTTAATTCAGGTGGAAGAAATAGGGGGCAGATCATGATGTTAGTCACTGATGTCTGTATAGAGCTTTTAATGTACCTGAATCCCCAATCAACTATGTGGTTTTCCAATTCAAGTGGCAATACATCTTGGACTGATCTTTTTCTCAGATTCACTTGTAGATATCCCAGATGTTAGTATCCTATGAACAGTTTACATAAACATGTGCAGAATATACTAAATGTTCAGATTGAGAACTATTGTTTGAAAATCATCAATTTTCAACACTCAACTACCAATTATAACTCATTGATAAGTGAAGTTATAAAAAAATGATGTGATAGGCACATTTGTGAAAATCGCCACTGGAAATAGCAATGGCACTTAGATTTATATACTGCTTCATAGTGCTTTACAGCTGCTCAGAATTGAACTCCTGGCAGTCAGCAGAATTAGTCTGCAATACTGCATTCTAATCACTGCTTTCTCTAAAAGTAGTGCTTAAGCTATAATGAACATGGAATTCTTGGAAATCATATGGCCTTGACACAAAACTGAATACATTTTTAGCAATCATGATAAGGATCTTTAATCAAATTATAGAAAAGAATGAAGTGATATGATAGATTTGCTTGTCATACACAAATTATTTCTATATCAATGGAGTAAAAAGTACTCCAGATTCTTTCTAAAGTTGATTTCACTGTGACATTGTATGTCAGAATGCAAGAACATAATATACCTGGTTACTTCTAATTCCCTTTGCATATTCACATTTCTTTAAAGTTAAAAAAAACAAGGTCATATCTTATTTCTTTTTTCAACCATATTTTTATCAAACTCGTGCCTATAAAATAATCTACAAAAAAGGAATCTTGAAGTTTGATCCGATTCAATTTGATCCAGCAGTGGTGAATATGGATTGCAACTAAGTTAAGGAAAAATTAAAGTTGAGATGCACAGATCTCTTTTCCTATAAATGTGACCCTTTTCCACCTGTTCAGTTCAAGAGCTAGATCCATCATATCATAGGGCTGCTGATCAGAGAAAAATGAAATAAAAGGAATGGAGGATATTAATTTTTTTCCTGGCATCTTTCTGGTTTCAGAATTATATGAATGTATTTAATGATTAAGTTCTGTTCACTTATGAAAGTTGCGGAAATCCCATTGGGCACACAGTGGAGGGTGCAACCCCTTTATCAAAGCAGGTCAAACCCTAACAGTTCTCTTACTACAAAGGCACAAGATACAATTAGAAGACCAAAGTGATCTGGTTTCTGATGCATGGTGGAAGTTTCCCAAATTCCTACTGCAAAATATCAGACATCAGTGAAGGATAATCTTGGAAAGTGATAAGAACCATCATCCCCAGTATCAACCAAAAAGAAAATAGAACACACACACACACACATTTTGTGTGGGATATAGCATCTCAGGACTGAAAAGATTTAAGCTAAAGGTTTTGTAGGTCAAGATTTTGCATTAACCTTGTAATAATAGAGGGGGATGTTGCAGTAGTAAAGAGGAAAGATAGGTTGTCTTGAGGGCCACAAATTTTGCTTCAGGACATTTTCTCCAGTGACCCAGCTACCTGCATTTTAAACAAAAAATAAACTAACTAAAGTCTCCATTTTGAAAGTATAAAAAGGATCCAGAATCTAGTAGTGTAGGTGACTCAAGAGTTCCCACTTCCAGTGGGACAGGGTTTGTCTCTTTCCCCAATACCAGCTGCCTCTTATCCTGTAAACTTTTCCAGGCCTTTGGTGGAAAACCCACCCCCAAATTACTAACAATAGAAGAGAATCCAAATAATTGCTTCATTAGTTCCAAAGCTAGCAAGTTGTAGCAAGTTCACTGGTCTCTTGCCAAAAGCAAGACTTATAAGGTTAAGGGGATCTTACATAGAATCTTGATCAAAGGGAGTCTGAGTTGCCAAAGATTCAGAACACAAAAAAAATTGCTTCAAAACTGTGAAGGATAACTACAAAGGGAGACACAGGGAATCTTCATAATATAAGCTTATTGAAAACACATTCCTAGAAAGGAGGCAAAGTATCTTTAATATATAAGTTGAACAGAGGTAGTATTCAGTCAGTTCAGACAGCTTCTGGAAAAATTGTAGCAAAAATTTTGACTGGTATGGAGAACTGGCAAATACCACCTCTGGTTAGCCCTGCCCACCCACCCCCACTTTTATCTCTCCTATATTCTGTTGTTTATTAGCTCACCTGAT